TGTTAAATTGATTTCTTCTGACATATACCGGTACCATATGCTAGCTTCTTGCTATATAGTTAAGACACTGCATGGGGTACGATGACAGTTATTTCAGAACCTAAATTTGATCAGTATCTTCATTCAAGCAGAACCCTTACGACATACCCTTGGTACAAGGATATGGGAATTCTAAAGAATGATAAGTATTCTCACCCTGGTTCATTCAGTTGTCAACAGGGATCAGTGAAGCATTACCATAGTGTTGAAATTTACATTCTGTAATGGGGCTAATGGAAGAATTAGCCACATAAAATGGAAGAATGACAATATATTCTTTAGTCCTAACAGTGTTACACAGTACTGTTTGTAGATGTAGTAGGTACAGAATCTACCAATTCGGAGTAACTAAATTCTGAATCTTATTGGCAGTTTAAAACAACAACAACAAAGGAACAACTGAGTTTCAGCCAATCATTATGTAGAACCATATAATGATGAGAAAGTTGAAAGTATGTACTTAATTATATCGTTACTTTATATTTTTAATTGAATATTTTCTCACTATTTAATTTTCTCATGAGTATCACAAGTATAAACCACATAATGTCTTTAGGCTATTCACAATCCTAGGGCAATGAAATATCTTTCGTATTAGCCTAGAAATCAAAACAAAAACTAATGAAATTTTACTCTCTTAGTCACTAAAAGTATTTAAATTGGGCATTGTTCCTCAGTAACCTTAAATAATCTAATCTCAAAATCAAACACAAGTTGAAAACATTAGTGTTAATTTTACATTATGTTCGAAGATATAACATTTTCAGCAAAGATAAGTACACACTTGTAGTAACGTTGGATGGCCAAAGGGTATTTTGGGGAAGTAAATAATGACTTGTACAATATCTTTGATTTAAAATTTTCGACAATGGAAAAATGCAGTTTGATCATATTGTTTTTATTTATAGAGATTAGTTCTAAATCTATATAATCGGAAAAGGCTAGCACTAAATACATCAGATATTAATAATTCTGACTATATAACTTGGACAAGGAGTTAAAATCAGTTACGAAAGTCATATTGCTAATTTCAAAATAATATTGAAGTCAGTATAAACTTGTAAGCACGTAGATTGTTTTTGCACAGTCTTAAGAGTATAGATTATCGGACTAAATCGATCTTTTGCTTTGCTGCTGCCATCTGTGGAGTATATTTGGAACAATATAACTGTATTGTCCTATAAATTAATATTGAGTGGAAGATATAACCAATATTATACATATTTACATATGAGGACTATACTTGGTTAAAAAGCTATTTGTTACAATAAAAATAAAGCTATTTAATACACCATAAATTACTTCAATAAAGAAATAAGCTTGAGAAAATAATATAAGTATAACAAAAAATATTAATTAGGAATATTGATGTACCTGCACAGTATATTATTCTATAATATTTTAGGTTTTGCTGTAATTATTGATTTTATATATATAAAATAACGAAAAATTGTAACAAATGACGATATTTTGATTTCAAGATCAGATGCTAGATGGCGCTAGCGTCCACAATTCTTTTGGAGGGAAACTTAATTTCTAGTAGAGTAAATATGTTAGCTTTTAGTTACAATTAGCCAAATTTTATTTCCTTTGAATAAGTGTCCATTTTAAACGAAGTATTTGGAGTTACTGCTTATATTGCGTGTTTAGTGAACTCTTATTGACGTACATTTTAAAGGGAAGGGTGAAAACTGGAAATTTCTAAGCAATAAACTTAAAAAAGAAATATCAGAATAATGATATAATTATCTTGGTAAACTCGTGAAAGATTTTATTTTATGGTATAGAGGTATCTAAGGATTGAAGCTCGACTCCCTGATTTAGTGAAATACTGTATTATTAATCCTTATCTTAAGTCTTATTTTTAAGTGACTTAAACAATATTGATCGAATCCAATTACGAAACATGGGTTGAAATGACTATTACAAAAGTTGGCGGTGGGTGTTGCTGACCGATTGCCTTCCATCTGGTTGCCACTATAGAAGCACGAATGTGAATATTAAAATGTATATAATTCTAATTGTGAGCACATGGGTATTTCCATAAGCATTTAATTTATCCAGAGCCGAGAGAGGTCCAGTGGTTGGCGTTCCGGACTATAGACGAATTGTTCCCCGGACCGTGGGTGCGTTATAAGGATGATGGTCAAATCGCACTGTTCGGTCTGATAAGAGTAAATCAAAGTTGGCGGTGGGTGATGTTAACTAACTACCTTCCCACTTCAAAATTAGGAACGTCTAGTGTAGATTCCTTTTGCGCGAAATACAACAAACAGTTTCAGGCATTTTCGCAGTAAATAAATAATTAAAAACTGAAAATTGGATTTTATAGCTGTTACGATATAATT